CCCTAAACCCTAAACCCTTCTTGGGAGGGTTTTCTGTGAGTTCCTCCGGTTTCGCTCCCGAGCCCCCCACCTTTTTGACGAAGCGGGGATGAGGGGTTTAGGGTACACGGATGCCCGAATACAGGGTTTAGGGTTTAGGGTTTAGGGTTAGGGTTTCAGGTCTAAATAGCTAGCTCTGGCATTCCCCCGGTCCCTACTACAATCATGGTTTGAACACACCCCAGACCCTGCTTGACTGCAGTAATGCCCGCCCCCCACCCAAAGCCGACCCCATCGCTTGACACACATCCTTTACTGGAACCACAGCATCACAACCTCCGTAGTAGGGTTTAGGGTTCAGTGTGTGGGGTGCAGTCACAGTTGGGGCTCCATAAGGGAGTTTCCGAAAATTAGTGGTACCTTATTTTGGGGTCCTTATATTAAGGATCCTATAATTAAGGGTACTATATCAGGGTCCCCTATATTCGGAAACCCACATACTTATATCCAATAATGCATGCGCCCAAAGGAAGTTGCTCAGCATATCGTTCCCAGCAAAGAGGCATAAGGCAGGCTCTCTTTTTTGAGTGAAGATCTCCTTATGACGAGGTGTATCCCCAACGGTCTCTCCATCCCGGAAGTTCCCAAAATGCCTTACAGCCTTTGGGTTTAGGGTTGAGGGTTTAGGGTTTCCAAATGCCTTAGGGCTTCTTGCTTTTGGTGTGTTTTTTGCGTTCGCAATACGTCCCAAACCCAAACCAGGAGATCTACGACATGGAGTCAATGTCGGAGACGCACACCATGCTCAGGGGTGAGAAGAAGGAGCCTTCTCCCCAGCGTCGTGGGTGTTGCAGGGTTCAGAAGTCTAATCTAGGACCTTTTCAGGTGGGCAGTTACCGTTGTAGGAGCCTTATAGAAGGTCTGTATACCTTATAGAAGCCTGATTATACCCTAAACTCCCCACCTGTAGTTTCCTTTAATCTAAGTCTAGACGCAAGCTCCTGAGCTCGAAGCCTAAATTCACGGCAGGCATAAATTCGAATGCTAACGCCTTTCCATCCTGAGCCCGAAAAAGCCAAGGACCCACAGGTGCCGCGACTTAGGGCATTGAGGCATCGCATTTTCGGGTTGTTACATGTATGCGGTTGAGACCTCGTCCGTCCTCTTGTGTGTGAGTGTGTGTGTGTGAAGGTGTGTTTATAGCCCTAGACCTCCTGGCGCCCTGAGCAAGGCCGTTCTTGAAAATGCTGCTCAATTTTTGTATGGCTTCTATATGCCGAAGAAGGCTTACTTGAATGACACAACAAACGGTATTTTTTGGAGATTAAGACAGGCATACTTAAAGGATCATGGGACACAAGAGGTATAAGCAGCTTCTAGCCCACATCAACGTACTTATAACGGTA